GCTGATAAAAAATAAAAAAAAAAATCAACCTAAATTTTGCACTTAAGATCTTAAGAATTAACAATGCAACATACATACATTCCTGTTCATAAAAGTTAAATACAGGATGTTAGCTCAATGACATAAAGATAAAGTAATAAAAAAATTTATAGGTATTTTCGTCTCTAAATTTTATTTGTCACTGTTACGATACTATTAACATTTGGCTTCTGATTAAACTAAGATGGAAGACAAGAGTTCATGTTCATTTAGAAAAGCATCTATGACATGTTTTATGTAATGTTGAAATTCTCTTTATTGCATTCTAATTCAATTTTACAGTGTCTATATTCATTTCTTTTTTCATATAGGTTTTAGTATTATTGACATTTGCCCTTGTGCTTGTTTTCATTCGTATTCAAATAGTGAAGGGTTCATTCTGTAAATGCTTTTTTATTTCATGATTTTAAAGGGTTGATGTATTTTTGTTTACTTAATAAGTGATTTATTCTGTATGTAATTTTCTTTTATTTTTCATATATCTGTTTTTAATCAATGGTTGTTTCATTCATTCTTTTTGTTTTATGATCATACAATGTATTAAGTTAATCATTGTTAAGGGGTATTTTTGTGATTTTAATTTGACTATTAAATCTTTGTTAAATGGTACTTTATGATCCATTATTTAATCATTGTTAAAGTGTTGTATTATTCATCTTCTACTTGTACAGTGGTGTTTTACAGGGGTGAGAAAGTTACACTGTTTCTTGACTAATCCACTGACTTATTTAATTGGTTTCAAATTTAAAAGTTAGGACACCCTGAAAGTAAAGATGGGTGAAAAATTGTGGTACACAGGCATACCATGTGTTTGATACCCCTTATTTAATAATAATTTATACAAAAAACACATTTATGTAAGTATATGTAGTTTAACACAGAACATCAGTGAAGGAAGTAGCCAAGTTCCTTTGTTCTAGTTACCTACTGTACTGGGTCATTCATCTAAGATGTCACTGGTGCCTTCTCATGGGAATAATTTCTGTAAAGTTGTACATACTATGTGAAAGCAGGCAGTGATCTTTTCCATTGACATGTCAAGTGAACCCTCAAGGTCCTTTTATGTTTAGATGGAAATGACTATTTGTCACTTATATAGCCCTGAATATATACATACACATATATATGCGTGTCTTCTGAATCTGGAACAACTACAACTAGATTCAATCTAGATTCTTAAGCTGTACAACGAGCTTTCTCAAGTACAAGCACCATTCTTTGTGAATATACTGTTTCAATTGTTTTTACAGCTTGAACAAAGATTATTTCAATTTGTTATACAGTGTGTCCAATCTCTTTCAGTTAAAATCAGAGTATTCAAACTTCCTCAATGATACATTTGATGTTGGTACTCCTGTTAATCTGTAGAAGTTATCTGATCACTTTTAGGGAAAGTCAGTGCCCCTCATAATATCACAAAACCTACATAAGTTATACACAGTATAATGCAAATTTAAATTAAGAATGCATTAAAAGATATTTCAACCTTAACGCAGTGTACCAGTAGTCATACACAAAGATAGTTAAAATATTGAAAATATTCAAATTGCCAAAAAACAGAACAATTTTATCAGTTTTCTATAATAAGTACATGTAAGGTTACATTGTTACAATACAATATTTTTTCTAAACATATGAAATTGTAGTGTTGAAAAATATCATAAAATAAGATATATCCCTACTAATTACTAGACACCAATATTCCATCAGGAATAGACATTTCGAAATTTATATTACACCTTTATTTTGAGAAATATTGAACACTAGGATATTTGCAAGCACTTAGCATGGAAAAACACCAGCTGTTTAATAGAAAAAAAGTTATAATAATATATTTTTTAAGGATGTTCAGTCCCTCCGCAAGTGAAATGCATTAATATTTAAATAATAAATGAAGATGAAACTTTGAAAAGTATTTTAAGATAAAGAAAATGAGTTGATGGTTTAAATAAATGGCTTAGTGTTACCAAAGGAAAGAGAAAGAGAGAGAGCTTGGATCAAATTGTGCATGTTAATTGAAGTGTTGAAACTAACCTTTACCAATTAACCAACCAATCTGTGTATTAAGCTGTGTCTCTGCTTGGTCTCCTTTCTTCTCTACTAGGCGGAGGATGGCCTGAAAAGGTCTTACATCAGACACTCGCCTATTTTCATCAATTATTTCTTCCTGTTCAGCTGTTGTTTGGTTAATACACAAGAAAATGTAGGTCTGCATATCATGCAGAAGTCCATAGAGAGGAAGCTTCTGAGCCTCTTCCCATGCATCCTGAAAAAAAATATATATATATATATATTCTTTACATACATACGTACATACTCATAATTTAATAGAAAATTGAACTTATATGTTAAATACAAAACAAGCTACCCACAAATGCATATTGTAATTTATGTTCCTAAATAGGAATGAAGCTTTCCACCAATGCATGAAAAAGTTTCACAATTATTTCGCTACTTGCAATTCATGAACAAGATTTTGGAGAAAAATATAAAGCAAAAAAGAAGCCACTAATTTGTTAAACCTGTTTGAATCTTGAAAGATTTTGGACACATTTTAAAATGTAGCAATAAATAATAATCTTGGTTAAATAATTAAAAGCTCAAATGCAAAGTTATTTTGCTACAGAACCAACTCTAAAGTCAATAATGCTCCACAGTAATTAGACTTCAGTATCATATTTAACTGATCTGTATGCTAAAATGTAGAGTTTGTTTGTTGACAACCTACATAAGTGCAAATATACCTGTTAACCTAGTCAAAACTTAGGCCTCAATCAAATAGAACTAACAATCTTATAAAAGTGTTTCTTTGTATAAATATCATTACTTCATATTAAGTCTAATTGGTAAGGTACATTTCTTAAGTTATTATAGAAAAACATGCATGGCCACTCGATAACAACATTTCAGACAATTAATAAGTGGGAACTGTAATAATTTCAGATTTAGAAAATTTTAATCTTGCACAAATTCAATTAAAAAAAATCATCTTACTCATGATTAGGTATTGCCATTTACAAATACATTTGTTTTTACATTGTACGTTTTTAGTATAAAGCATGTGTGAATACCAAAATTATTGAAATTAATAGCCATGATTTTCTTTCAAAATTATTATTTTTATTCCAAACAATAAATACATTGTGCCATAATCACAGCTGTGAAATAATGACAACAACTCTACTGAAGTATGTTCAACTTAATTCCTCATCTCTTGTCAACAACGTGTCTGCCATATTTCATGACAGGAAATAAACATGTTGTTATACACAATAAATACATTGTGCCATAATCACAGCTGTGAAATAATGACAACAACTCTACTGAAGTATGTTCAACTTAATTCCTCATCTCTTGTCAACAACGTGTCTGCCATATTTCATGACAGGAAATAAACATGTTGTTATGCGCAATTATTCTTTAACATATACACTGAAAGTTCAACTCCATTTTGATTTTTTTTAACAGATTTAACACATATGCTGTACTTGGTTTTCTCAAAAAATACTAAAAGTATCATTAATATATCTTTTACAGAAAACATGGCTAAAATCAGCAAGGCAGTCATTTAATCATGTGCTCCTGTCCACATAAAGAAAAACAATGGGTGAAGCTTAAAGATGATCTCCACTGACAAATGAGCTAGCTATAGACATGGGAATGGTATAAAATAAAAAAGTTGGAAATTTCTGGCAACTCAATCAGTAACAAGTTATACGGTGAACCTCACACATGACTCCTTTACGTAAGGGTTTATCTTTGCTAGCTTATTGTCATATATGTAGATTTGTGTCTAAACATAACCATAATCCAGATACTTTACCATTATAATTAAAATTCTCAGAATCATCTAAAATGTAATATCCAATAAAATTCAATATGATTGGAAATTTTAATATATTCCAGAGAATGCTGTGGAAAAATCAAAATTCTTAAACTTTCTAAAATATACAATATCTAGCTCCTTTCAATGGCTTTACCTCTTTAATTTCAAATAATGTTGCATCCCAGTCTACTTGAAGTGGAATCAAAAGCCCATTGGGCATCAGAACATCCAATGAGATCTTATCTGAAGTTGTCCTGCCTTCCCAGACATCAAATGGGAGAGCACTAGGTCCCATTTGCCTTCATATATTTGTGTAAAATATTTTTCAAACTGACCAAGAAATGCGTATTCTGGCAGTCTTCTACTCCCAATGATATTACTTGTGGGTTTACATGTACAATACAGTCTCACAGGAGTGGTATTCATATCACAGGCAACATAGTGACTATATTTTGGCCAAACAATATCTGTAACACACAAGAAATGTACAAGACATTACATAAAGTACACATCAATAAGTAAAAGATAATTACTACCACCATTACAACAGCAACAGATTTTATATAAAAAACAACCTGACAGAACTGCTACTGAAACTGGGCAGTAAACATACAGGTTGATGTATTTATTTTGACATAATTGTTATACTCTACGAAAACAGGCTGTACATATAACATTTAGTTATTTGTAAAAGACTAATGTGTTTATCTAAAGATACTAATATTATTTATACAGTTCACTTTCTTAGACATGATTAGGAATTACACATTGTGGAAAAACAGAGGTATGCATACATAGATTAATTTCTTTTAGCATTCTTCCTACATAATTGTATTTGTATGGCAGAATTAAAAATATTCTAATTTTACAAACCTAAAATATTTAAAGTAATTCTGAAATTTGTAAAAATTTATTTATTAGATTGTTGTGCATGAAAAACAACAATTAATGATATGCTATAATTATTTTTTTTTTTCACGTGTCTATCTCTCAATAGTTAAAATGGCTAGTTTGGAACTCTTGGAACCATTTATATTACATACATATTTCATACATTTAGTAGCAATAAAATCATTTCAACGTTCAGTTGCAAATATATTTCCGTTGCTACTACTCATGCCAATTCACAGAGGCACTACAACTTACCACTGTGAATCTATATTTATATAGAATTTGAAGAATATGCTATTAATCTATTATTGTGACTTATTCAGCAGAACAGTTGTTTAAAATACTAACAATAAATATGATGCCAAATCTATCATTCAATTGAGCATTGAGTTATACCAATTTCAGGAAATTCCACCCTTCATCAGAAACCTGATCAAGAACTGAAAAATTTATATTTATGAGATTTGCATATGCAAGAAGAATATTCATTTCAACAAGTTCATTTGTCAATTAAATCCTATATAATAAAAGAGGTTTTGGTAAGTGAGATTTCTTTGGTATGTATAACAAGAATAATTACCTACAGATAATCAGTAGTGTACACAGTGTGTCATGAGCTCCACAGCAAAAAAAATAAGTCAGGCCCCTTTACCACTCTAGTTAAAATGCCCATCTTCAGCATTTTATGGAAGTGAAATCATCCATAATCTTATCTATGTTCAATTTTCTTGCTCATCCTTGTTTTATGCTCAACAAAGCTAGTCCTAGTAGTCTTTCCTGACACGTTGTACTTCTTGTGTATGTCTTAATTAGCTTAAGTTTGGAAAATGATCTCTCAGCAGTGGCAAAGATGACAGGAATGGTTAAACAGAAAAAATAGGCTGTGCAAATGTCAGGGAAAGAAGATGTTAAGGCAGTGTTTTCAACAACGAGGATGTGAGTTATCGTTATCTCTTTGACTGAACTCATTTTATGAATTTTATTCCTAAGAGATGCTCAGAAACTTAGCAGTTGATTTAAAAATGATGGCAATATGTTACTGCTATATGCTTCTGGAACTTTTCTGCTTTGGCAAAAAGCTCATCATCTGTAATAGACATTAGAAACTCAGGTTGTAAAATACCAAATATTTGTACAATTGCATCCTTGCCATGGAACTGGTTTGTGAGCTGCATCATAATGTCCAAACAAGACTAAAACACTGTAATTTTGAAATTTTGCTCAGCATCTGCTAGTCTCCGATCCTTGCTTAAATCGTCAAACTGCCATTTTACTTTTCTGGCCCACTTTTCTTCAAATTTACATTTAATGACTCACAATGCAAGAGAAACTGCATTCTCCCTTGCATTCTCAAATTTATTATGATAGGCAGTCAGTGTTTCAGTGGCTCTTTGAATCTGTTTTGCAGCTTTCACAAGATCAATTGATTCTAGCTGTAACATTTTAGTGACACCATTCACAGTTTCTAAAATTTTGCAATGAAGGACTACAAGAAAAACAAACTGGAAACATTTAAACCATTTTTAAAGCTCCATTGCTTTAGATTCTTTACCACTTCATCCTGACAGAAGAATGATTCTTAATAGTGCTTTCAGTATCTCTATGTAGTGAAAATGCAAGGCAATTGGAGACTTGTAATGGGATGGCCATCATGTTAGACACAGCCTTTTGAAGCACACACCTGTCCATCATTTAAAAGTGTCAATAAAAATGTGTAGTCCCTAAGCCATATAAAAAAATATGACACTTCAGAAATGCTCACAACTGCATCATTTAGTGCCAAGTTTATAATGTGTGCTTCACAGTGTACATAAAATGCATTTGGCTCTTTTTCAGCAATTGGAGCTTGTACTCCATTGTAAATACCACTATCTGATGCTGCTCAATCAGAGCTTTGTCTCTGACATTTATTTGATTCCAAGCCCTAGTTTTCTATGCACTTTATAATTTCAGATTCAATGGCTGAAGCACTTTGATCCTCAGTTTCAATAAAACCTAAAAGAGCTTTCCTTTATCTTTACAGCAGTTAGTCTGTCATTTTCATATTCAACACAGACATAATAAAAAATTTGGCTCATTTGATCAACCTTGCTAATGCCATTCATTGTATCCATTATTATTGAAAAGAATAAAACTTTATTTCATTCACAATATCTCCTTCAATACTTTTAGACAGAATCTTGGTAACTACCTTTTGAGCTCCGGGGCTTAGGTATTTAATTATGTTACTCAGTATTGTATGAGCTGTTTCAGCAGTGGATCATATTCAGCTAAGAAGAGAATTACAGACAAGGAATTACCTGAATTGCCATCACTAAGGGTTTCCCTGTGCCATATCAAAGGCAGGCCACATTAACAACTCATTTCAGAACTTGTCTCCAAAAGTTCATTTCTTACCAGATTTCTGCCTCACTCTGTGCCGTTATAGTGTAATTAAGTTTCCAACGGTTATATATGATGCAAGAGTCTTTGTGTGCTTTACAAGTTTTGTGTGACTGTACTTTTGTTGACAAACCTTTCCACTTACAGATTTCTTTAGCCCCAAGCTATTATCATCAAATAACCAGCAGGGTTCACAGTACACCAAATCAAGTTTGGGTGAATAACATAACCATGTTATCTGTAATTGGGTACCTGCTTTTGTTATGTGATGACAGTAATGTTCTGAAAAACATCTACTGCCTTGTTCTTTATCCCTAGGGAAAGGCCCTTTTGGTTGTGATGATCCATGATCAGTTACAATCTGCTTCACTTGTTGATTGTTAAAATCAATAGGAAAATTAGCCCTATTTGTTGAATATTTCTTGTTATGAAAATCATTAATCACGACTTTAGTACCCTCATTTTGTTGTTCTTTTTTTCAAGCACTGCTTGCTCCTCACTATTTTTTGCACATTGAGTGACAGGTGCTTCCATCATGGAATTGGAGTAGAGTAGCAGCTTTCCTGTTGTCATGTCTACATTGGATGTGTGTGTGTGGTAAACGAATCAAGAAACTAAGACCGTCACACATTTATTATTCATTATCCTGTGTTTTAAGTTAGCAAACTGATAATCTATAACCATATTAGGTATATGTTATCATATACAAAGGTTCTCAAAACCCAAGGATATTTAAAGCTATTTTTTACATGTACATGGCCAGACATACAATACTAAAAGGACGTGTTGTTAAGAGAGATGCCTTCTGCTACAGGGTTTTGAATGTTGTGCTATAAATTGCAACAGCTATTCCAAAAGAGATAATGATGTGGCATATCACAGGTTTCCACAACTTACAAAGGATAAGGAGAGGTGGGTATCAATCAATTCTATAAATACTGATTCTGTTAAAATATGATTCAATGCCAACGGTGTAGCACATGCTTGCTGTTGAATTACTTTTATTTATATGTATGATACGTATACATGAAGTAAAGAAGATAATATAATAAGAATTATTGTGATACAATGAATATCTTAGTATATAATTGATGTTTATTAAACATTTAACCATATTAATGATAAGTATGATAGTTATAAATGTATGAATAATAGAAAATTCTCATATCTATGTATATGTGTTAGTTTTAAATACCGAATTACTGACTGATCTAAAGGGATAATGACAAGTCTAGCATCATTTATTTGTTTTTGCAGTTTCTTATCTTATTACAGTTACTTAGTATAAAATAAAAGGAAGACTTATTATTGTAGGTGGGTTATTGTAAACTGAAACTTAACTTACAGTATGCACTGCCATTTGACATTTAAAATTATCTTCTATATAATCTGTATTGTATATCCCAATGTACATAACTTGTGTTGTTACGATAAATATGGTATCTCAAAGTGAAGCAAATTGATCTGATAAAACAATAGCTGACAATGCATAGGTACACGTATGTATTTGACTTCAAATATTACCATCACGTTTTCCTAATAAAATATTATTTATAACAACATGAAGCATTTGTATTGTTTTCTATGTGCTTTATCTTAAATTTATAACTCTGTGTGTGTGTGTGTATGTAAATATATATATATATATAAAATGGAGGAATGCAGAATGTAGCATGTGGAGTTTGACAAACAAAGTATCATGCTTTGTTTACTTATCATGCTAGCAACTCCATTTCATCTGCTATACATCTCTAGCAATTTGGGCTAGCCAATGGGTCTAAATGGGAGTTTAAAGTTTGTACAACTTAGTTTGTGTATAAGCAAAGTCCTTTAGCAACTAAACTCAACAGTACTTTTGAAGCTGATTGGTTGATGCTGATTCTTTGTAGACTTTGGATCAATCAGTGACTGTGTATTATTTTGTTGTGTGTGTGTGTGTGTGTGTGTGTGTGTGTGTGTGTGTAAGTTAAGAAAGATTTTTTTGTATTACCCTTCTCCTGGCCCCGCCCCATAGCAATGCTATGACAGTATGTACACCACTGCATATAATAGAAAAGAAATTCAGGCTAACTTAAAGCCAAAAGGTGCTTTAAGATTATAAACAGCAAAACAAATGTAACATGAAAAAAATTAATGCTCTTGGATACAAACCATTATTATCTCAAGATTATGATAGTTAAATTGGAGACCGTGTTTATAACATGAAAAACTAACAATTATTGAAGTTTTAAAGTTAGAAATGTGAACTATTTCATGACATGTTATAATAAAAAAGTATATGCTTGAAATATGAAACACTTGCACAATTATATTTTTTAAACCATATGGATATACATGTATGTATAGTCAGCAGGTTTTATATACTACAGTAATAGACTTGTACAATTTCTTGAGTATATACATAGTATTTACCATTCCGGAACTGTCTACTCATAGTTATATCTATGTCTTTGTTTTTAAGATATTTAAAAGCCCCTTGATCATAACATTCATCATTACAACCAGCAACTCCCTCTAGGAAACAAACAAATTACAACATTGAAAATATAGGTTATAACAGTGCCATGCGTAGATGGTGCTGTACTTTCAAGACAACCAATTATCTTTTCACATATATGATGAATCATTTTAAACAACTTTTTAAAAACATATTCTGCTTGCCTCATTTGACAATTCACTTTGTATCAATCATGGTAAAATCTTGCCAAAACAGCAACACACTTTCTCAGGTCATGAAAGTATATATTTAAAATAATTCCATGACAACAACAAAATAAAAACATGCAAGATCAAAACAGATGAACTGGGCATCACATAATTATTAATAGTAGTATCTAAAAAACTTCAAATGTTTTAACACCTGCCACATAAGCCAGCCCAGCACCTTGATGTGGATAAAAAAAAAAGTCATTCCAGAAAGGTTTGGGTTGTTTTGATTAGACAAAAATGAAACATTCGGTACCATTTTTGAGGTCAAGGTCTCTGGACAAGACCCGATACCATAAGAGCCAAAATAGAGAAGTTAACTTGTAAATGTAAAGAAACAATGTAGCAATGAAACATGCTTGAAATGTTCTAGATGTGGTTGTGAGCATGATGGTTTAAGTGCAGCAATTAAGCTAAACTGTAGGTCCAGGTCGATTAAGGGAAGAACTTATTCAAAGATATCCCAATCGATTTGATATATCAGTTGAACTGAAGATTCATCAGTTGATTACTGCACAAAACAGTGAAACATATTAAAAATGCAATATCTGAAATGAAGATTAAATACAAGAAGAATGGTATAATGGCCACTAAGGTGTCGCCATTTTTGTAATCCATGTAGATTTCACCATGTCATATTTTCATTAATATTTAGTTGTTGTTTTTTGTTTTAGAAGTTGTGCCGAGCTTCATTCATCGAGATCTATCAAAGTAACCCTAAATCACTGGTTTCCAGAATGACACCCCCTGTTGACTATCCTTGGCTCAGTATTAAAAGATGCTGGGCTTGTTCGTGTAGCAGGTGTTAAAACTACTTTACAAACTAACTGGAAACACTCAGTTGTTAAGCATAAACCATTTGTTTTTTTTTATAGTTCTGTGGTATTTCAATGAAAAGATAATATTTGTAAAGAGTGCAATGAAACAATTTCATGTGGTTGGATATATTTAAGAGGGGAAGATAATAAGAAGAACAAACACAAAAGACAACCTTTTATATTAAAACAAATTATAAAGTCAACAATATTTCATGTTATTTTGCAATGCAATTCTATAAGCTGTCATTAGTTAATTCGTTTCTTTTTACATTTGGCAAGGAAAATAATATGCCTAGATAAGGAGAATTTACTATATTAGTTAAAAATGGACACTGCAAACACTTCCTTATTCTTATTGCATGAAAGTTATACAAACAATGGTATACTTTTTATACTCTTGCAGTAATCAAAGCTGAGAAAGTTTAATGTACTAACTTTAATTGCTGCTTAACTACATATTCTTTTAGATGTCCAATCAGATAAAATTTAGTAACACTGAAAACCAACTAATGTAGTGTTTTGTTACCAATCAGCTACAAAACTTTTTGTAACAATCTTACATGAATGTAAAACTTTGCAAAAGTTCTATAAAGATCTCTACATGTACACTATACACTCTTTGTTTTTATACTAAGCAAGCCACTTTGTCCTACAAACATATCCTTATGTTTAATGATATTACGTATTTCTGAAAAGATAAGCTCTCTACCATTTATGAAATATCAGTCCTTGGACTTCAGTCAGCTGTCTGGGACTTGACAGTTTAATCTGAAATTAACAGACTTATCTGTATTAGTATGTGTAATATACAGCCCAAAACAAACAAAGATATGCTTGTGGATGTAAAGAAAATATAAAAAAATATGAAAGAATGAACAGAAAAACCCATGAAAATGCAGAGAAATATTTAGCCAGATAAATGAACTTCTTATAGTAAAAACTTCAGATCAACTTATCACATAATAAATTTATACATAAATCACAAAAACAAACCACAAATTAACAAAGTATTAATTTAGAGTACAACCTTTTCAGAATAAGGCTTCACTAAGACTTAAGAGCAAAGGCAGAACTGACAAAAAAAAATTATGTATTTGTTGAATTAAAAGAAGACTATATTACATTTTTATTTCTTTTCAAAAACAATTTTAAAGAACAGTGATAAGTATAAAACTTATATGGGAGGGTAAGATATTTATGGGTGTAGCTAGATAATGGGTTTTTTAAATAACTTTCTGAAAGAGTTGGTGGAAATGTGTTGTTAGATTTATTTTTCAACTCATCAATTCCTCAGACAATTCAACAACTAAAACTTATTTTAAGATCCATATAATTGAAATAATGGTCTTTTCATATACAGCAATTAATGTTATTGTTGAAAGATGTGTTTTACTATTTTTGTTTAGATGGAAGGAAGTTTATAGTAACATGATGGGCATGGCCTTAATGACTAGAATTTTCTTTAAAGTTTAGGAAACAAATTAAATTATGTATCAAAAGCAAGCTAGGTTTGATTGAATTATTGAGTACGTTAGTCAGTTTGTAAGTGATCAGTGCATGAGTTAGTCTGATAATGTAAGCTTGTTAATCAGTTAGTTCAGTACTGTGAATACTAAGTTTGTGTTCTAATGAAGAAAAAGAAGAAAAGCCCCATATGCAGCCTACAAGAAAACTAACAAGTAAAATTATTAAGTTGGGACTAGTACTTGTCAAACATTTGGTTAGTTATGTAAAGCAGTGGAACTTTTAAAACTGAAGTTGAAGAAGTGTAATTAGTGAAATACTCAGAGCTTTCACCCTCCCAAAACTAGTTTAGAATGTATGCATAGTTAGAAATATTCACTTAGTACTTTTATAAGTTACAATTCAGTTTCTGTAAGTAGTTGTTCACATCCTTGCTAAACCAGATCTTGAAAGGTCATAAACATGTGCCAATAATTCCCTTTTCATTTGTAGAGGTTGCATGCTTCAATCTTTGTTCTTGAATCAACTTGGCAGCACATTTTTGTATAACCTGTTTGGGAATGGGGGGGTTGAATATTGTTTGACCACTGATTAAAATGGGTAACTTTGGGAATTATGGTATACCATTCTTATAACACAGTATACTGTTGCAACATTCAGTCAGAACTCTCTCGGTCTTCAGCTTTAGCAGCCAGAGAATCTGTCTTTTCCACAGAAATAAAACTCTTTTGTTTTCACTAAGTGAACTGCATTTTGCCTTCTTTTTTTTTTAGCACTCAATAATTCAAACAATAGAAAATATAACATCATTTGTGTCATAAGTGGGATTATTTTGATTAATATAAAACAGAAATAAGACTCAACTTCAAGATGACAAAACACCTTCAAAAAAAAAGATGGAAAATTTAATGGAAGTGATGTAGCAGTGAAAAAAAGATCAAGAAAATAGAGGCAGGAACTTATAAGAATGAAATTTAGACTTACAAAAGAATTAGGAGCAAATATCATTCTGATCAAAGACGAAACAGATGAAACCAAAGGAAATGCACAGAATTATTATAAAAATGAGACTGAACTACAATATAATGTAATAAATGTAAATATGAAAGGACATCAAATCTCAGATAAAATATATAAAAACTGAATTGATAACTACAAAGATCAAACCAGCTATATAACCCTTCCCATCTGCTCAAGAATGTCAACTTGAACACTATTAACTATGCAATGGTGTATAGGAGAACACATCTAGTCTACACTTGTTACTACCACTGCCATGACCAGGAGTATCCACTGAGTGTATTCCATTTGTCTTAAAATTTGAACGCGATGCTGTGGCCGATTATTGCTTATTTATGTTAACCTGAAATTCCAGGGAGGTCAAGAGATGGTCCCTGTGTCAATTTATTCAGTGATGGGAAGCCTTGCAACATGTTGACCAACATTCACTCTACATTTACCACTAGTTGAACTTATCTGGTAATGTAAGCTGGAAAGATTACCTCCATGAATGAAGTAAAATGTGAAGAGCAAGTGACCATAAAATTTCAAAAAGAAGAATGCTGGAATTCATCCTCATTATTGGAAGCTCCTCTATACAAAATCATGTGGTAAATTAATATTGAAGATGAGTGCATGTTGGGAATAAACACAGAGGTGAGATAACACTCCCTTCAAACAGTTTCACAGTCTATAACCAGGAAATCCCTGTACACTACACAATTATTAGAACACCAGTTGTGAAAAGAAGGAACACTTATTATACCACCAATAAGCAAGATACTTATACCTGAACTTGTTAGGAACAACTTTAAGTCTAATGACTGGGGCAAAGAAGAGTTAAACACAAGAGATGGATTACTAGTTGGAAGAACTCCCATGGATTTGAAGAATATCATCACTAAAACAACAAAGCCATGAGATTCAAGTGCATTTTAGGCAGAATATTCTAAAATGTGAGGTTGTACAAGTAGTACTTCCACACCAAAATTCACCAGTTGTAGTCACCCTAGAAACTAAAGTAGAAAGTGTGATGATACACCAAAGGTCACCAGTGGTGGTCATCTTAGAAACTAAAGTAGAAAGTGTGATGATACACCAAAATTCACCAGTTGTAGTAGTAACCTTAGAAACTAAAGTAGAAAATGTGATGATACACCAAAATTCACCAGTTGTAGTAGTAACCTTAGAAACTAAAGTAGAAAATGTGATGATACACCAAAATTCACCAGTAGTAGTAGTAACCTTAGAAACTAAAGTAGAAAATGTGATGATACACCAAAATTCACCAGTAGTAGTCACCTTAGAAACTAAAGTAGAAAATGTGATGATACACCAAAATTCACCTGTATCATCACATTTTCTACTTTAGTTTCTAAGGTGACTACTACTTCAAAATTCACCAGTAGTAGTCACCTTAGAAACTAAAGCAGAAAGTGTGATGATTCACCTAAATTCAACAGTTGTAGTCACCCTAGAAACTAAAGCAGAAAGTGTGATGATACACCAAAATTCATCAACAAGGGAAGCTTACCACCTCATTTACTGGAGCTGTATGACTAACAATTAATAAATGCCATAGATAACATGACTTGCTCATAGAATGCCAGATATCTTCTCCATTGGACTTCACAATGTTGACCAGACAAAGCATCTCATAAGAGTGATACAAGAGATGCAGCCACAATTCATCAAAAGATCTTGTGCATCAACCATTATATTTATGAAGAAGAAGGATGCTTATGCACTAACAATGAATGCCACCACTTGGAATGCTTTATTCAAATTATAATGCTTTCAACATTGTATTGGAAACATGGACATTGGCAAGTTTTAAGTCAGAAAAAGACAGCCTTTACTGCAGGATTTGTATCAATTTGTTGTGTTACCATTTGGATTTTGATAGAACATTCGGGCAAAAACCACCTTAAAAGGCAAACCTGTTCTTGAAACAACTCTCAAAACCTTCCTTTTCAATAGTTAGGACCACCCAAACATCAATAATAAGCAAAATAAGTGATTTCACGATTGTATACAAAATCAAAATTTGCCCATTTGTTCATATTATTATTATTAATAATACTGTTTTACAAGTCTACAGCAAAAATCGGCTGGTATTTTGCACCAAAACCTAGACAAATATACATACTATATAAAGTGCTGCGAATGTCCATGGCTTATTTAAAAGTTTAATATTTTTCATTTAAAGTTGATTTACGTGGTTATAAATATACAATAGATATGATGTTGTTCTGAACGGCTGCTTTTGTACTCGACACCTGTTAAACGCGTATTTACACGAAACCACAGGCACAAAGCCACCAGGCTCAGTAAATAATTACTTTAAAAGACATTAAGCTTTATTTAAAGTGATGTTTTAGATGTATTTGTTTTATTTGAAAAGGCTGCTTTTTTACTGGTAAAATTTTATACTCTCTTAGTGGGAGGGTTCTGTCTTACTCTAGACATATATTTGCCCATTGCTGTGCATTAAAAAATTCAGCATACAAGATAATTAAAAATCTGGAATTTAAAACCTACAAATAGGGATAGCAAAAAAGTAAGCAAACAAGGCTGGAAGTCTACTGCTGACATTTTGCTCAATCTACAAATCCCTATTATGACTGCACTATAAACTTATTGCAAGTGATATCTACTATAGTGTGGGATCACACAGGAATTTTGCAAAAAAACTGAGAGAATACTTCCAAACTTAATTCTATTTCCTTAACTTGTGTGTGTAAGTTGGAAACTACAACTCATGCATTTTATAATGCATTAATTGGAAAATGCCATGTGAAAGGTTTCCAATTTTGCTGTTGCATATTGTTACTTGAGTCACTACTGTTCACTGTTGAAATTTGGGATGGCTAGTGCAGATAGCCTTCGCAAAATTTGTATAAAACGAAACCAAACTGACTGTTCAGATCATCAGCAGGGACCCCTCACTGCTTGGGCCTTGGTGCAACTGTGCCACGGTTAATGCAGCCCTGGTAATAGCTATATAGTATATGAAATAGTGCTATATGCAGAGGTAATAAATTCTGAATATGCTCTCACAATTTCAGTTAAGTATAAGAAACAGTAGAAAGAATCACCACATCCTCTGAGTAGCAAAATCTACTATGGTAATTGTCCACTGTTAAAAACTTAATTATAGTTGTGGAAATCTATGTAGAGACAGCAAACCCGGTTGCAGTGTAAGACTAGAGGGAAGGCAGCTAGTCATCACCACTCACTGCCAACTCTTGGGCTACTCACCATCACATTATAATGCTCGCACGGCTGAAAGGCAAGCATGTTTG